GATATAGGCAACTCTGACAGATATTTCAAAAATGCAGATGTAGGCGATCGAGAAAGATTCTGAAACGAGGGGTAAGGAGCATCATCGCTGAATACAAACCGTAAACGGTAATAAGCATGATAGGCCAATTAAAAACAAACTAATGAATCGAACTGACATGCTCTTTGATGACCTTCCCTTGCACAGTTTCAAAAAAAGGCAAATTTACTTGTATCCAATTCAAGGTTTGACTCAGGTACCTACAAAAGAACATTTCAAATTAGCAATAGCTATATGGCATCTTATAATGAAAGAGATGTGAGTGGAAGTCTCACCACTGTGGCTTTCTGATGTCGTTCGTCTTCCGATCACCATAAAAATGAAAGGCAAAGCGTGTTCCGATGGGCTCTAACAGCACTTGACATACCTCGTCGTAGCTAAATACAAGATGCAACATAAACAGTGAAAGAAGTATGACTCAAGCCCTTAAGCCAAAATGAAAATGCAAAAGAACTGGAATGGGTAAATGAAATCGTCACAACACATTAAAAAATTCCAAAAAAAAACTTCTGAATTACCCCGTGTTTTGCTCCAGGTGTTCACTGACAGAATATATGAAGCTTAATATAGCCGCTAGAGTATTCGCCTCATCCATGAATGCTCGAATATCTTCAAAAAGAAGCAGATAAGTATCTTTTTTGAAGAGGTAAAAACTCAACAAAATGTATCGGTTACAAACAATACCTTACCTATTGAATCTTCAAATGGATACTTCAAATTGTCCAGTAATTCTTTTGCTTTCTTTCTGGCAAATTCTTTCAATTCTGGTGCCAAGCTATTCAATCCATCGATGAAAGTAATTCGCGAGTTGTCGTTAAGCTGAAACTCCAGGATTTCGGCGGGTTCTATGCTACAACAAATCAACTATTTTAAACCTCTTCAATTTCTTGTGCGTGTAAGCAAGCGCTGCAAAAGTTCTCCTCCAACTTAGACCAATCGCATTGAGGGTCCTTCATAGCCTCGCGACAGGATGTTAGCAGTTCCCGACCACGATTCACCCATTTAAGTCTGGAATATGGAGATAAGCAAGCGCAGCTGAGCACAAAAACGCGAGAGTGCATGGAAACTTCAAAGGTTTCAATCAGCAATATCCATGCTCAGAAGGTCTCATTTGAAAGCTCGAGTATACAACTAATATACCAAACTAGGAGCAGCTGGCATAAAAGCGATAAACCTCTGAGGGCGGTAACAAACAAGAGGGTTTGAAGAAGTAAAAACAATTGTTTAGACTGAATTGTAGAAGAAGATTACCTTTTCAGCTGGACCTGCTTGCGGGACAAAGCTTGTAGCTGCGGAATCAGGTCAGGACAATGCTAGAAAGTTCTTTTATTAAGAGGCACCCAAAATGAAATGATGAGAACATCTTATAATGATAATTGCAGTCAGCGAACCCTAGTCATGAATAACTTATGCTGAAGCTGGTAACTCAATGATTAAATGGTAGAAAAAGAAAGAATGCTCTTGAAAACCTAAGATTAGCTTACTCTAACGTGACTGATTTGCAAAATGAAAACTTAAAATCATAATGAAAAGAAGGAAAAAACCTTTTGCAGGAGTTCCATGAATGTCTTGACGAAACTTTCATACCGACTACGTAGCATACAGACTTCCTCCTTCATATGGAGCAGATCT